GCTCGAAGTCCAGAAACACAGCGCCTCTTTCGTTATCTCCGCACTAAAAAATCATGCGCTTTTATCACGTGGCACTGCTAGCGTTTCTCGCTTTGGTTTTAGGCATGGATACTCGTGCGGCAGTAATAGAGCCCAGCGACGCTGAAATTTCCAAAGGTACAACGCTCGAGAAAAAACACCACAGTATCAATAACCGACGACTTCTGCGAAGCACTATGATTGGCGCCACTGATCCCGAGGAAAGGAACGCATCCGCGCTCGTTAAATGGTTGCAAGTGGAGTTTTGGGTTAGGGCAGGAGTGTCAAAAGTGAAAGTCAAGAAGATGCTGGGACTCGAAGGGCTGAAAGGGGAAGCATTGAAGGCGAGCCCAAAATACAAGTACTACGAGAGTTATAAGCAAAAGACTGGAGGAGGTCACTTAGGTATGGATGGCGCCGAAACACGCCAGGTGCGGATGTGGCTAGACAATGGCCCACACGGGCTCCCCACGCACGATGCTTGGTTGACGTTGGGGCTAAATGCAAATGCAATGTCCTCGAAGAAACTCGTGAAAAGCGCTAAGTACAAAACCTATGTGCGGTACGCGACCGCGTATGATAATCGCTTGTTCCAGCGTATCAAGACAGTGGACGACCCAAAGATCGATATCGGGAAAATGCACCCAGCAGAGGTGGAGGCCCATATTCGCATTTGGGCCACGACAGAGCGACCCGACTGGTACGTTCAAAAACTTCTGGGGCTTGAGAGCAAATCTAGGGCCGAACTCGCCGCGAGCAAGGAGTACCAGCACTTTTTGAAGATGAAATCTAGCTGAGCTTCGTATCTCTTTAAACGAGTTTAAGCTGGAGGTTTAATCAACGGTGCAGAAGCCTATAGCGTTCCTAAACTTACGTTTGAATGAATCAAAGGCCTTTTCAGCAATCTAGCAATTCCCAAAATCTATTAGCGAGATCAAACCCCAAGTACTGATTCAAAGAAAACAAAGCATGAATCCAACACCTTACTGAATTCAAGTCAAAACCACCCCGACTCAAAGAGGTACTCGATGATGTCCAAACCTACTACATAAAACGTCCAGTTGTGTAAACATCCTCTAAAAATCAGCTCTCCCGCTAAAATTTCGCTCACTTCACCTTCATCGGAGCCACTGTACTCGGCTTTTATAATTTTGAGGTCGTTTTGTTAAATCGATGTCTAAAAAAGAACAAATCGATCTAAACAGACTACCTAATAAATCGAGCTTCAATGGTTGGATCGGGGTGGATCGATACAGCACCCAAAAAAGTGAGAGTCAGACTAGTCTACTATTTACTTAAAATACAAGATGTCTGAAATGTCACGAGCCGTTTTGACAACGCCGTAGTACCTGTGGTACCCGGTGGCTGCCGGTTGCCCCTCCCTGATTGGGATGACTCTCGAGGATTGCTCGCACAAATACTCAATACAGAGCAAAAGCCGTACACCTCTGATTTTTGTATGTAGATGCTGTCGTTCTCGCTTGACAGCACCCAAAAAAGTGTAGCCACTACTATTATCGATATAGTACGGTAGACATGCAGCACGGGGACTTTAGAAATCAGTATTTTTTGATTACTTTCAAGTACAGTGATTAGTACATGTAAGTACTTCGAAGTACGGAAGTCCCTTCGATAAGCGTAGGGTTCGACAAGGCACCGTTTATACACTTTCAGAGGAACACAACTAGCTGTTTACAAAGAACTTCCATGTTGTCAAATCCAAATCAGCAGATATGACAGGGTATACAAACCCCGAGATACGCTTACGTCGAAGTCCAGCTGTACGCTCAGCGTACTACCTGTTGTATAGAAACTGGCTCAATGAGCATGAGCTTTGACAAAATAATGGGATACACCTACATGCATTTTGTGTCTGTCAATTATATTCCATGCCAACCTTAATTATGCGCTTGGAATTCCAACTGTAATGAATAGTAGCATTTTCAGGTATTAACACAGCTGCCAGTTGCTTATTCGTATAGATGACATTATCTAAAGCATTTTTAGCAGCAACCCAGTATTGTTTGGTTCGATCCAGCTGCTTAAATCCTATTAACCAATTTATTACCGTCGTAGTAGATTTACAAGGTTTTATTACCAATCTTACCAAAAATTTGACCCGAAACCCGAATTGTTTTTTTTTTAAAAAAAATATTGCTTTTTTTAACGATGCGAAAAAAAAATGTACAGGCTTTTCCAGCTCAATATTTTCATCTGTTTCTTGGGATTCATCTGCGGTTGTATGAAGCAAAAAGTATTTTCCAAAAAATACTTTTTTTGAGTGCGTCTTTAATTTAGGCGCTCATTGTGCATGACGTAAACAAAACTGACACCTTTTTATTTTTGGTGCCAAGTACGTGAGTCGGAGTGGACGAATGCAGGCGAAGCAGTATGAGGTGCGTTGCTAAAATTCTCTACTACAACGTGGATCTTGAACGTGCTTAATGTTGGTTGATAATGTAGGAGAGGATTCTTAAACTCCAGGATGCGCTGGAAATACAGAAACTCAAAAATGCGTGTGAGTAGGTACCGATTATTGTTTGCTTCATCAACGCCAAACTGATGGCTTGGTTCGATGTTCTGGTGCTTCAGCTCAGCTAGGGCGAATTCGGTAATGTTGATGGTCAATGCTTGCAAGAGACTATCGATGAATAATGAGGAATATGTAGGATCCTAGAAGACCAGCTGGATAAAGTGCAGATAGCGCTTGAAGAAGAACGAGAAGAAAAGTGTGTTCACTTCAAAACGATAACGAGACGAAGGCCCACCTGTCTAATGTTGCTTATAAATTCATGAGAAAGAGAGATGATTTTGAAGAACCGACAAACGAATAGATTGCTTATGGAGCTGCGTGAAGAGCGCGTACAGCGATTGCAAGATCTGGAGGAGATTTATGCTAAAGACAAAAGGCTGGAGGCTGTGACGGCAGAAATGGTATGTGCTGGGGTCTATCTAAAGGAATTAAACATCTACTGACAGTGCAAAATATACGCAGTCTGCTGCTACACGAGGTTTCAACCAAGTGAATGAAGCAATAGCTCACAAAGATGCAGAACTTGTGGGCCTACGTGCCACTGCGAAATGCAGTGCGAAGCTGCTCCAGGTTTCATCAACTAGATTACCTGTCTCCCTACCTGCGTTCATGAGTATGACATCATCATTCTTTGGTTCTGTAGAAAGCTGAGCAAGATTTTCTCACCACTCATCAGGATCTAGAAAATACACAGCTCAAATTGCTAGATTGCAAACGGTAAGAACAACCCACCCAACGTTAGTTTGTCCTGTTTCAGCTTACTTTGTCCCAGTAAGCTGTCTGTCAAAGAACGCGAGGCGCGCATGTGGATCGAGAGATACGAACAAGTTATGATGGACCTCCATGCTTCACAGTTCCGCCTAACGCAAGTAGCACGAGGTACTCTGATTCATATTCCATTCGAAACTGAAAGAGCGCTCTAACAAAGGTTATTATCCGTAGATGCAAGCTCGAAGGAAGCAGCGCTAACGGTGATCGTTGGCCAGCATTTCGTTGCAACTTTCAATGGCTAATACTCTCGGGTTTGTGTGTTTCGCTTGCCGAAGTAGCGAGGGCACGCAATAGATATCATCGATCCCGCTAATGGAGTTGCGAGTCTTCGCCCTCGTCCTGTGGCATTGATGAAGCCTGTTGGGCTGCATGATCGCGCTGTTCGGAAATATCGACGAGATCAAATATCGAATCGAGCCCATGCAAGCACAGCCAGTATCACAAACTTGCAGCCAGCCTCTCGTTTGATGCCAGTACACTCGGCTGGTTCCCTTCCTCAAGTTCATAGTTCTGCAATACCCGATCCGGTGTCTGCGATTAGCCGCGAATGTTTCCAATGTACAGCTACAACGCCACCTGCCAGGCCCAAGAAGAATCGGTGAGTATTAAGAAAAGATTGCTGTGAGTTGGCACTACATTCGACTTTTATACTTTTGGTTTTGCAGAAATCTCGACATGATTCGAGACGACCGCGACGCACCGTACGAATTTACCGTGATATCGCGAAGATATCGTACACGAAGCTCACGTATGTTCATAATTTCTGCATTTTGTACGCAGAGAAAACCAGCCTGGGTCGAAATACCTTGGCTATGGCTTGGGACTTCTCAAGAAGGACCACACCGTTCCAAATAACAACTACAATTAATGATTCAGGACACTTACGCTTCGCAGTGTCAAGGCGATATTGTTGTAAAGCCTCGAAGTCGCTCGTCGTTCGATGTCTTGCAGTGCTGAGCCACACGCCCGATAGCAGTTAGGAGATCCGTTGCTGCTCGTGCCAAGGGAATCCCGTATGAGTCCATTTGCTGACCCGATATTGGCGTAAACCGTTTGTCCACCACAATATCACGGAAGGCAGAAGGAGAGAATCGGTACGCCCTTAGCTTCGCGGACACTGGCACCTCAACACTGGCAGCAAACAATGTGCCGATTTTAGCAGTTGTCCGCTTCGACAATGCCACGTAGACAGTCTGTAGATATGAGAGCACAAGCTCAATTAAATCGATCAGCTCCAGCATCGGCCGATTGTCGTTGAACGTGATTGCTTCACACATAACTCCGCACAACTCGGTCAACAACACACAGCTGCACAGTCAAAGCAACAAGGACGTTAGGTAAGCGTTGTACTCTGGTCATAATTACGACGTACCAGATAGTGCTGTTGACAACTTCTTCACCGGGTACGAGCTTGATCAAGCATTCAACTATCCATTCTAGGCACGAGTGAAGCTCGTTCAGTTGAAAATCAAAGTGAGCGAGACTGTCCAAACCATCCTTAGCAGAAAATTCAGTAGCTCTTGGTCTGCTCATGTTCAAGTTGGCGTGATTGAGAACAGCGCGCATGAATTGGCACACAGGCACCATTGTTTCCAGCAGCGAAGTGATGTCTTCTTTCAGCACGAAGGAAAAGGTTTTCCTCATAAAATCATCCAGAACAAATTTCCTGAGTTTCTGGAGACGTTTACAGGACGTGGGCGTCGGATTAGCTCGTGAATGCTCGAACGATCTCGTGCATCTACAGTTGAAGAACCCACACGACAAGTAGAAGGCTTCTCGTCGAACTGCCTTCACATCAATATCCAGGGTGGGATCCTTAGAAGTCTCGACATCTGGATAGTAACTGTGAATCCCAAGAGGCCCGTCTGGATCTAAAATGTTCACAAGCAGCGTTCTTAGGTGAGATCGGTCCCACCCTGTCTTGAAAGTCTGGTATATCTCACACGTCTACAGCACATTTCATAGCGATAGTTAATACTGTGGATCGTATGGTAAACACACCCAAGCCAGTAAATGTAGCATACCTGTGCAAACCAGTGTAACAAACTTGGGTACTTCTGGCGGGCGAAAAATAGCTGGACACTATCCACGAATCTCATAGACGCTGAGCAAAAACCTTTGCGAAGCTCATCGTTCACACTTCGTACTCCATCCCGCTGCACCAGCCGTCGCTGATCCTCGAGTCTCTTAATAGCTAGAGGATACTCGGCACTGTTCACTTGACGGAATAGCAGTTCCATCGCGTCAAAGAAGAGATTTTTTTCTCCAATCGCCATCTCTCCGCAGTAAAACAGCAATGCATCCATGCATTGGTACATAAATCGAAACATCGTGGTCAGCCCCGTAAGTCTCTCATCAAAAGATTTAATCGTGTCGTCCATTTCGTGATACGAACGTCCGCCTGCGGCGTTCACTCCAGCCTGTCGAAGAAATAATTCGCCATATCTATGCCAGCTGTGATTCCAATGGTCGATCTCACTGCAGGCTCGTCGGAAGTTTATCTTGTAAGCCCTGTATAACAACAGCAATTTCGGTTAGTAAGAAAAAGACATGACTTTACTATTGACTTCGACAGCAGCACGCACTCGAGAAATGAGACGAAGATTGCAGACGGCGACTTCACCATCTTTGAATGAAACTGGTTCATCTCGTGCCGATTGCTCGATTGGGGATCACTGTACAAATTCCAAGAATTGCCAGCACTTTTACAAAACGACTGGAACACATCCAGATGAAGGTCGTACAATGTGTCAGCATCGTGAAATGCAGCTTCGTTCGCACGAACCGACGAATGGAACTTGCATGTGGATGCTACTTCACGTAAAAGCTGTAGCACCAGTGGGTCCATCGCGCCGAACCCTACCGAATCATTGCGGAGCAGATGATAAATGATTCCATCAGTCAGCATTACCCAGTAGTCTGAATCACGAACACGACTCTGATGCGACGTCCGTTCTTGAGTTATAACCCCGAATGGCACGTCCTCCAATTTGAACACGATTGGAGTCGAGTTTAGCGCCGCAACGTCAAGCGTTCCCAAAAGCCACGCAGTGGATAGTTCTTGATCTGATCCACTCTCTCTCAAGAAGACATTTCTTAGCCATTCCTTTTCGGGGTTATACTTCAGTGCAGCACCCAGTAAGCGAGGTGCAAGATTTCGATGCTTGACAGTCAGAGAAGTCACGTAACTCCAGAAAAACTGAACTGTGCACGTGGAAATCATCATTCCGAGCAAATCAATCGCATAGATTTCGGCAAATGTTGGAACATCAGTCGAGGGGTAGTTGAGCACAAGCTGCTGTATAGCCCCTTTCAAATTGCTTGTGATCAACTGAACCGCTTTGGGTCTGCATTCTTTCACTGTCCAGGCTGGCGCAGGTCTGGGATCACGTCCCGAGAGCAGACTTTCCCAGTCGGCTTCCGCCAATAGATTATCCAAACCATTGTCAAACACACTTAGTGTTGAAGCGAAACTTTGCTTGGGCTCATCCGGCGTTCGAGGGAGTACTAGCTGAAATATGTTCATCGCAACCTTCAGATCATGGACAGTAATGATCTTCTGAGTTGCAGTAATCAAGCATGCCTCCATTCCAGCACCGAAAATATGCTCGAGACTTTTTTCAACAGCAGAGCCGAACGCAGGTCCGATTATCAAATCCGATGAAGGCGTTTCGAGCATCTTCCTGGTCAGATCACGCATTTGATAGAGCGGTGACATTGCAGCGTCTAGGTACAAGTAAGGTCAGTGGCAATTGTTGAAGAGCAATTAGGTAGACACGACTTACTTTGAAGCCGTTGTCGACGATCATCCACGTTGCTTGTTTTGGTGGGGCGGGCTTGTGGACCGGCTGACTGCTTCGCGGTAGGAGACACGAGGGGGTTAGCCTGTAAATGTTTCACGGATGATTCCAGCCTCTCATTGAGGCCCCTAAATACTGTGGGAAACTCAGTTGAGTTCTTCTCCAAGAGCAAAGCGCCAAGTGTAAAGAGGGATTGAGCCGCAAGAACTTCACACGCAGGCTTCCCTGATGTCCATCGCAGAATTTCCTTGCAGTAAAAATCTACCTCCCGCTCCATATATCTGACATCTTTATCAGATCGCTCGACTGGAAAATGTTGGTCGTCACCGCACTCCATACAGACTCCGACAATAGCGAATACGAGTAGTACTGCTGTGCTCATTCTTTCCTAAATAACACACCAGAGGATAAATCAGAAGCAATTCAGGTAGACAACATAACTATGGCAGGGGGACGAACCTTTCCCACTCCTGAACTCGTAGAAGATCGCTGCTGTAGAGCTTCAGGTCGTTGAGCTGGCTGTACATTAGCTGGATTGTGCTGCTTTGGTCCCCAATTCCAATTCGTTCCAGACGTTTTTAGCGCTGCTGCCGCTGTTGATGGAACATTTCCAATGACCTGCTGGCTGTCGGGAGTATCTGGAATCGCGTTGAGGACAACGCGACGGAAGCGACTTCGATGGACACGCTTTTCGAGTTTCAATAGCTGAACCTGTACACCGTCAAAGCAACATCATAACATTTAGAGCTGTAAACTCCCTGACGATCTCAATCCAGTTCCTACCCAGATGATTTTGCATAGAGCTGTTGTTGTGTCTCCATCACCGTTGTGCTCTTCAGCAAACGCGGCAAGTCGTAATCTTGAATTTCCAAGATCCTTGCATCGAGTAGCAAACTGTTTCAAGAGTTGGGGAAGCTCAGCGATGTCATCTGGATGGCGTGGTACATCGTTGCCCCACAACTGACGTAAAATAAGCTCAACGACCTCTGCAGAAGACCAAGCGTTAGCACAGCTGTCTACTGTCACCTTTTACAGTTAAACAAACCTTTAGAAGGATACCACTGCTTCGAAAACGCAGTGACACGCTTTAATACGTGCTGCTTGTAAAAATCTGTCATAAGCACAGCAAATAAGTTATCCGGATAAATTGGCAAGCAACATGAGCTAATAGTGACTTACTTGCGCACTGGCGATAGTCTGACTGCAAATTAGTCGGCTGGTGAGGAAACGAGTTAAATGGAAGGAAATTTGGCTTGTCCGGCTGAAGAAGATCCTTAACAACAGCCCACTTTGCGTCGCATCTGACAAGCAACATAGCAAGGGCATTAAGCGCATACCACAAAGATAAAAGCTTCACAAATGAGCTACTCACACAGCTTCCTCGTGCTTATCATCGTCCGGATCAGCATAAATTCGTGTCAAAACAGCGAGTAGGCCCCACGTAGCTTCTAAGGCCAGCAGCTGACTTTCAAAAATCTCGTCACAGTCTTCAGTTTTGCTAGAATCCGTAGCATTAGGCTCAAAATCACGCAGGTATCCACCACAAGATTCAGTTCGAACGAAGCACCGAGCTAATTCATCGAAGTAGCGCTGACGATACACAGCTTGCAGCAATGCCCAAAAGTGTTTCTCTTTCGCAGACAGTGATGCACGATCGGTCTGATCCACTCCAGCCGAACTTGAGCAGCAACTACGAACCAACATCCACAGTGATAACGCTGGAGATGCACCGCCCGGTGATCCATTGACTACTTGATCCTCCGCTCGATGGGATGACGGGAGGTAGATATACAAATCAAATAAGTAGAGCACGACGGCCAGAATGAACCGGTTGACCGGCAATGCTCTCCGAAAAACATCCTCAACCTTCTGCTTGGTCGTCCCGTGTGATCCAACCAGAAGATCAGCCATAGGTCGAAGAGCTACGAGCAGGTCAAGGCAATACCAATACGTACGCGACACTGCGGTCAGGAAGGGAGTCGTCGTTGCATCTCTGGAAGCCACCTCAAAGAAAAAGAAGTACGCTTTGCATCCGTTAAACAGTGAGTCGCAGTCGGGAAGCTGCCGGATAAGCGCAGCAACCTCCACCAAGACAATTTCGAGACAACTTGACAAAGCCGAAGGAGAAACTCCTTCCAAGGCCTGCAGCAACTGGGCAGCAAAACTTGCTATAGCCCTGTGATAAGCTTCCTCGAGAGAGACCAAAACAATCCACTCAGGTGTGCTTGCGTAACCCTCTTCATCGACAGCACCCAATCCTCCCCTCGAAAGTGAGTCCACGAAGGTGCTCTCTTGTAATCGAAGATTATTTACAAGTTGTCGAAGGCGCAACGTTTGTCTTGTTACAATGTCCCGAAATCTGTCGGGGTCTTCGAACTCATATTCTTCGTCGGAAAACAGATAAGGTGGGGTCAGTGGGCCGCAAATTGGGTGGCCAAATGCCAAAAGTTCTTCTTTTTCCTGTCGTGAAATAGCGGTGATGGCATCCTCATCACTAGTTGTGCTAGGTCCATCGACCACAACCTCAAAAATGGCCTCCCAGTTGACTGCGTGCTGATTTGAGTTGCTCGGGCGGATGGTAGTGTTGACAACTTCTACTGGTCGCTGTCGCCTTTCAGGGGTAACGTCGTCAAAAGATATACCAGCTGGATACACTGGTTGGCTGGAACTACGCACGGTTTGTGGGGCAGATTGAGCGAGAAGCGACCCTCGTGGTCGCTGCTTCTTTGGTGTGCCACGGAATCTTTCGTTGCGAAGGTGCATTCGTTGCGCTTGGACAGAATTTCTATCTTCTCGGCTTGACACGTTCGCGGAGCGTACTTCATGGACAGCATGTACACTCCCATGCCTATTGGAAAAGTCAAGTGATGACGGTCCAGTTGATCGGTCTCGGATGGCACTTCCAACACGCTGCTGCTTCTTCCGGGCAATTCTGACCCAGTCAAAGCGAGGATCCGACGGAAGAATCTTCTTTTGTCTCCCTGTGAGCCGAAAATTCGATCTGAACCTGTTGCTTGGTCCTCGCTGTGAGAAATAGTCTTCCATCGTTGTACTTCTGACAGTTTTCTTCCGGTTATTCGGTTTTCCTGCTTTCGAAACACTCGGTCGACGTTCACGGGCTATCGAAACGTAGTCGAGTTGTCGGTTTTGGTTCCTTGAATTGCTGGCACTCTCGACTTCGTAGTCAAACGAGAAGTCGATATTGTCTGAAGCGGAAGCAACAGCTGCTGTCTCAATTTCGATATCACCTGCGTCGAAATCGTCGGCTGAATAGCTGCTATCCGATGAGTATTCTGCTTGGGCTACTTGTACAACCGGAATTTGGGCATTTCGCCGCGCAAAAGCATCCCCCACAGCCTCCTTGACAGCATGCACCCAACGAGAGCAATCCTTTAGTTCATCCTTCCACTCACCGATCTTGGTGTCTAATTGTTCAAACCCGTCAGGCTAAGTATCAAGGAGTGCATACGAATTAGTGTAGCTGATCCAAAAAATTGAATGCAGTAGATCAAAGCAGAGCTACATACGGGTTTGCCATGTCTATCAAGTTTTTTGGAGATGGAGTCCATCACATCTTCGCCCGCGTTAACAAGAGTCTTCGTCAGAAAAACTTTATCCAAGTCGAATACCTAAACTCATATAAATAGGTTATACCATGGGCTGAGTCGTCAAAATGCAACATCAAACACTTACCTTGCGATAGAGATCCTGAAGATCGCTCATAGGCATCCCTGATAGGTCCTCCATTTTCTGGTCCACCATTTTCTGCTCTTCATGAAAGTTGGCGATGTTTTCCTGCTGCTGGGCAAAAACCTCTTGAAGTTGTTTCATTAACCCATGCCTCGTGGACGCCAATCGAATGCCCGTTTCTCGGGCGACATCTTCGGGAAGGTCATCGGGGTTCCCTTCCGGCTGAATAAACCTACCGTCAGCATCTTCTGCGTTGTGTTCGTATCCTCCAACGAAGCGCAGACGGTTAGTTTTACGCTTCTTCCTTTGCCGTCTACGATGCTGATCGACGGAATTTTCACGATTGCCTTGTTCACTGCCTCCAGCAGCAAGGAATTCGTTAGATTGCGCGTTTGTGCGCTTTAAATGATCTGGTTGGTCTGGATTACGATTCCTCTTGTCACCTGCTTCATCTCCATCGCTACTTTCTTCGTCGCTGCTGTCCAGTATGCGATGTCGCCGGCGCTGCTTAACAGTAGAAACAGTAGGTTGTTCCACAACGGGATTTGAGATCTTACGGACAGAAATCTCGCGGTCATTGGGTGGCCGACTCGACGCTTCTCGCGAGTTCCCGTTTCTTTCCGTCAGAACAAACATATCTTCGCCAATCCTGAGTACTTCGCGCTTTCCTTCCATTTCATCATCGCTGGATAGTAAATCTTCGTCCAGTTTGTCAGGAACCCGTTCAGCACGAGTCGACCGCTGAGGACGCTTCCGCTTCCTACCGGTATGCTGCGGTACCTTTGATTTTGCTTGTTCAGGATGTGCCATCATTTGTTCACGCTTTTTCTTTGCTTCTCTCTGCTTTCTCTCGTGTGGCTTATTGATGTAGTCATCTACAAAACAGTTAGGTTAGCATACTTACAACCCGCAGCAATACAATAATCACTCAACGAACCGTGATAGTACTCTCTGTCAATTGGTACGCGGCTGGAGTGTCTGTTCACGAAATCGGACGAGTGCACATACTCCCGCTCAATGTGCCGTTCAAAGCCGCCCACCACAACATAGCGTACGTCGTAGAAGATGTCTTCTGCTTCTCCATCTTTTGACTTCTCCCTGTGGACGCGAGTAATTCGCCCTGCGCCTCCCTGTTTATTGATTCCGGGCCACGTGCGAGATTCCACCTCCACCAGCGTTCCCACCTCCAGCACGCCTTCCGTTTCTTCCTCGTCGTCTTGTTCTTTATCTGTCTTCTCTTCCCCTTCGAGCCCTTGCTCTTCATCGACCTCAAGTTCCCCGTCTGGTTCTCGATCTTCAGCTACTTCTACTTGGGCAGTGTCATGCTCGCGAACGGCCTGTGACTGCTCTGGTGTCACCAGTATGGCCGTACTTTGCTCCATGTTTTGATCTTTTGGCTCCACTTGACTTTCCTCCTGCTGATGGTTACCCGCCTCAAGTCTCTGACGCGCAAGTCGCTCCTCCGCCATCGCTAGTGCCTCCAGCATCTCCTGCTCGTCTTCATCCGAGTCAGCCACAAAGTCCTCGTCCTCCATGTTGAACCTGGCGCCTCGAGTCGATTCCGCGCGCACCGAGTGCGGAACTCAAAAAGCTGCTTTTGGCGGGAACGGGAGTGATGGTCGATATCGGTATTTGAACGGTATTCCGGTTTCATTTTAGTAATCTCTCGAGTGGCATAATCCCTGTCGAACTCGGTAGCATTTTTCTGACATGCGCATCACACTGCTTGCAGATCGCCAGCCCCCAGACGAGAAGAAGCCGTGATGAAGATCGAAGACGTTCCCACGATTGTCGGGTCGGGCATCCACTCAGATCGCCACGTTGCAGCGTTGCACTCGGCACCGAAGCACTTTCCCAAGAGCCGCATCCAGAGGGCGACACTGCCCTCAGGACTTACTTTAGAGTACGCCATCGAAAGCAGCAGGGATGAACCGGAGACAGAAGATCTGCCCGAGGAGCGTGTGGTAATGATCAACGGGTTCATGATGACGAAGGAGGGCTGGGCACCTATCATCGATATCCTGTTGGACAAGTGGGACGCCAAGACGCAAGGCAAAAGGCTCAGGATCCTCAGCTTCGACAACCGCGGAGCAGGAGGCAGTGACGCCCCGTTCACCCGCTATACGACAAGTCAAATGGCCCAGGACACGCTGGGCTTGCTGGATCATGTCGGCTGGGACTCTGCACACTTTGTCGGCGGCAGGTAACGTAAGAGTCGTGTTTGGTTGAGCTGAGAGACTTGGTTTTTCTAACGTTGTGGTGGTGTCACTGCAGCATGGGCGGTATGATTGCTATCGAGCTGGCAGCGTCGGTGCCGGAGCGTGTGCGCTCGCTGGCACTCCTGGTCACGACGCGTGGGGCGTATTTACCGCATCCGAGGATGTGGAAGCCTTTCTTGGGCTCCGTTCTGGGCGGGTCAATGCAATGTGTCATGGAGCTGCTATATCCGAGTTCCATTCTGGATAAACCTATTGCTGGTAAAGATGGACTGACAGTGCAAGATGTACTCAAGAATTACCACTCAACACCGCAGTCCGACAACGGACTTCCCCCGCTATACGCACTGATCGCTCAAGGTGTAGCGTGCTTGACGCACTGGGTATCGGACGAGCGATTGGAACTTGTGGCCAAGGCTGGCTTCCCGATCCTCATTATCGGAGGCAAGCAAGATATCCTGATTCCGCCTGAGAACTCTGTAACTCTGATTGAACGTCTGAAGGGAGATCATGTGGACACACTGTTTTTCGAGACGGGAGGACACGGAGCGTTCTTCCAGTTTGTCGAGGAGATCGCCGACGGTCTCCAGCAAACCATCCAGCGCGCGAAGCTGTAAAGTACTAGCGATCGACTCACTGCATGAAGATATGGCTTCTTTGAGTATACTGTACATACTCTTTGTTAGGAAGTCAACAAGAGGCAGGAAGGCGGTCGAGTACTAACTCTTGATAAGGCACTCGCTACTATTATACCCTACCATTCGAAGAAAAGTTTAGGGGGCACCAGCACTCTGCATAGTCTCCAGGAGCTTACCGGCTATGTCGTCAAGGCATTGCAAAAGGCACCCATGGCCGGCGTCTTCGTAGACGACAAATTCCGTGTGGTCACTAGCAAGCTCTTTCTTGAGGTGAAGTCCGTGCGAGAAACCGAAACACTTGTCCAGCTTCGCTGCAACGATGAGGATCCGGAATCCCTGGTCGCGGATTTTGTGCAGTTTCTTGTTGGAGACGCTATGAAACATCGCAGCCGCCGACTGGCCAAATGCACCGGACGAAGACGGAGCTCCCAAGGTGGTCACCATTTTCTTATGATACTTGTACAGCACGTCCCGCATTGTCTCGTTTTCTCCGTTCTTGCTAGCTAAGAACGGTTCCGGATACAGGAAGGATAGGATGGCGTTCGTGACTTTTGTTGGATCGGACGACACTATGGTCGTGAAAATGGACGAGTACGCAGACGTGTCTGGTATGAACGACCCCGAGCTGGTTGCTACAAGCGACAGCGACTGGACTCTGTTGGGAGCTGCCAAAGTGATTTCCTGGGCGATCATTCCTCCCAAACTAGCGCCAGCAATGTGAACAGTATTCCAGCCGATGGTGTCCAGCAGTGCCAATGTGTCCAGGGTCATACCCGATGTGGAGTATTTGCCCCACGGAGCGTCCGAGTCGCCCACTCCGCGGTTATCGAACGTGAGAACCTTGAGTGTTTTGTCAGGATAGCCTCTTTCCCATTGAGTGAGCAGTACGTCGACCAGTGGAGCCCATTCTTCTTTTCGAGAGCTGTGACCCACGATCAGCACTAGTCGAGTCTCATCCTCGGCGCTACCACTGCCTACCTCTTGAATGAGGTATCCCATCGTTATCCCCGTGTCCACCTTGACCTTCTGCAGGTGTACGCTCGGAACGCGGTATACTGAGACGCCATGTGCTGCTCCAGTCGAGAGAGTAAGGCCATTTTGTTTGGAATCTCGGTAACAAGGAAGACGAGAAGTGAATCTCCAGTGTCTTTTGTTGATCTATAGCCGCGCAAGACTGCATCCACACATCATTCATCGAAAGTGGAACCCGTTCATTCGACGGTGCATATACGAACCACTTGAAGTCATTGGTGTATTGTCCATTTCTGCTTAGATTTGGTGGTAGTGTCCACATTCGACTATACATGGTAGAGCATGCATTAAGGCTGTACTCTCACAAGGGTGGTGATGCTCGCCTCATAGTTTCGATGACCTCGTCGGCGATTTCATCAGCGTACTGGCAGATTGCACCGTGGCCTCCCCTATCGAAGAACAGCGTGTGCACGTGGTCGCCACTTAGATGTTCCTTTAAGGCGATGGACTCAGCTGCTGGAATGACATCGTCTAGCATGGCGCTGACAATTAGAATTGGGAAACCAGCGTCGTTCATGTCGTGTAGCCGCTCGTCGGACACGAAATGCGTTTGAACAGCGGCCGTCTGGCCCATGACGCCACTGAGGCTTGGCTCAGGCCACTTCTTCAATTGTAACTCGTACATGCGCGCGATTGCAGAGCGCACGCTCTCGCCTGTTTCAGCTATCCTTGTGATAGCGACGTACTCCTGCGGAAACAGTGTGTCGACCATGCTGTTCGCCTTTGCTGGTACAGAGCTAAACGAAAAAGTCTTGCGGACCATCAGTCCGAGAGATCGTCCACTGGCTTTGTATCTGTCGCGGCTAGTTGAAACCAGCGTTAGTGAACGCACTCGTCGGAGATCAAGCAGTGCCAGCTCCTGTGCGACCATACCCCCCATGCTGCAAACCAAAGCCAAAGTCAGTCATAGAACTAGAGTCAATCAAACATTCAGTAGTCAACAAACCTGCCACCAACAATATGCGCAGACCGCCAACCGATATGGTCCATCAATGCGAGAATGTCTTCCGCCATGGTGCGCGTCGAGTACATGCCGAAGGGCGCGTCCGTTCCTCCGAAGCCGCGATTGTCCAGCACCAGGATGCTGAGGCCCACACCGCGCTGCTTCTGGTTCCATTTGGGCAAGAACGAGTCGATGAAGTGCGCCCACGTGTCCTTGGGCTGCATGAAGCCCGCAACCAGCACCACCTGTTCCACGCCCACCGACGCATTCATTGGTGGCAGCTCCAGCACGGCATAGCTGACTGTGATCCCAGTGGAGATGAACGCTTCCTTCGCAACTCCCTCGCCAAAATACTTGGGTGCAGCATACAGCGCCTCCACCTGGCGTTGCGTGTGGATGCCCGGAGAGGACACGACTTCGGGTTCGAACGGCATTTGAAAAGTGTTGCTGCCTTTTGGCGCAAATCTGAAAGTGACTGCGCAAACATTGATGGACACGCGCTTTCGGACCGTCTATGCGTCACGTCGCCGACGTGAGCTCTGATAACGTCTGCGGTAGATTGTGCCGTCCACTCGAGGAGCCCCAGTTCATGCACTAGCGACTCTAAAGGCACGTCGGGCGCACTTTAGGTGAGCTTGAGGAGACTATCGATTATTCAGAAGAGCCATCGTCTCGGCGAGCAGTTCCGTCATGGAGCTGTTGCCATGGGGAGGGGGATGGGCAGCCTGATCGACTAGCAATGGCAGTCCGACCAAGAACGTCCCAGTTCTAGGTTCTAGGTTCTGGATTCTAGTGAGAGTTTTTTTTTTTTTTTTTGAGTACATCTGGAACTTCCAAGTCCCACCGAACGAATGTTACTTTTCAAAAGATGACTGATACCTTGTGTGGACCTGTTCGTATCAGTTGCAGTTCACTGCGTCCTGCGCCCTGGACACTGCTCATTTCTCTTTTGGAATAAAAGAGTTCGAGTCAACATCAAGATGGTCTTCTCTCGACTGGAGCAGCACATGGCATCAAAGTATGCCGCCTTCCGAGTGTATACTCCAAAGGCGATACAGAAGACTAACGTGGCTACCGGCATCACCATGGCGTATCTTATCCAACAGATTGGAGACGGTAGCTCCGACGACGAGACTCGGTTGGTGTTGATCATGGGCTACGGCTATCGAAAGGAAGAGTGGGCACCGCTGGTTGATGGATTGCTCACTCAGTGGGAACAGAAGAACCCTGGTAAGACGCTCAAGATCCTGACATTGGACAACCGAGGCGTCGGCGATACGGATGCTCCGTGGGGCAAATACTCCACGTCGGGTATGGCTCAGGACACCCTGGCTCTATTGGACGCCATCGGCTGGAAGACCGCCCACATCGCTGGAGTGAGCATGGGAGGGATGATCTCCCAGGAGATCGCTCTAGCTGCTCCGGAGCGATTGCAGTCCCTGTCCCTATTGGTGACCAGTCCAGGGTCATTCACGCCAGATGCGTCCGCATACCCTGCGATCATCACCACGTTGATGTCTTCAGACATGAACAAGGTCACGAATGCCATGTTGTCCTTCTTGTACCCGGACTCGTTCTTGGCAAGCAAGAATGGAGACAACGGTACTATGCACGACGTGTTTTTCAAATACCACAAGGAGGTGGCTGCTACGCTAGGAGCTCCGTCATCGTCCGGTGCTTTTGGTCAAACCGCAGCGCTGGTGCTTCACAGCATGCCGGACAAGAAGCTACACAAGATCCGCGACTCTGGTTTTCCGATCCTCATCATCGGGGCAAAGCAGGATCAGTGTATCAACGTGTCACACTCACTTCACTTTAGCAAGGTACTTGCGAGCGACCACACCAAGTTGGTGATGTACGAGGATGCTGGCCACGCTTGCTTTTTGCAGCACATTGATGAGATTGCCAATAACCTCCTGGATATATTACAAAGAGCAAATTTGTCTGCACCAGCCAGCTAACTGGAGTGCTGGGGTGGCAGGCATCGTTGTCTGTTGAAGGGAGCTTGATTCGTTTTAGATAATCAAATCACTGATTACACCTTACCGTATTAAAAAAGAGGGAGAAATCCCATGTTTGAAATACTCGCCTTGCGTGCACTAACAAGCTAATGCAGCCGCTTTCCTTATATTAACGTTACTATTCGCATTAGTAGCGTAACCTGCAACAACGCATGTTGTAACCTATAGTTCTAAGTCTCATTTGAAATTTTATCATGAAAACAGAACTACAGACCCAAATGGGTCTTGCATATATTCATAGCGTAGAAAGCACGATATTACCAAGTGACAGCATGCACATAAACCTTGTTTTAAAAGAAAAATATACCTACAAACTGTAAAATACACTTGTATTTGTACTACGTACGTAGTAGAAGTATTCAAACGTAAGAACCTGGATCCTTTAAACACTAGTCTTCATCGCTTTATCTTCAGCCCCCCCCCCCCCCCCCCCCCTATTATCGAATGTGAACGTCGGTATAAAACTCATACCTATATACTTTTTAAATGTCAAGTTAGTCGAATACACGTTTCCAGTACCGTACCGCTTGCACGAAAACGCCTCACGTGATAAACATGCTGGTACGAATGTGTCTTCGTAGTCTTCGAGGCTACGACAGCGAAAACGCGAATCCAAGAAGAAATCTCTGTTAGAATGCCCCCACCTCTCCGCACACTCGTGATCTTACTATAACCCCCCCCCCCCCCCCAAGCTTGTGACGAGAAGAAATGTGCCAGATCACCTCCATAGCGATGCTTGTAATCGCTGTCCTAGCGCGCGTCGAGGGTCTCGACAACACGGAAACCACTTTCCAGACCGCCAGTCGGGCTAACTCCAACTGCACGATTGCTAAGGGTGGCGAGAGTCACAGCAATAAGAAGGGTGGCAACACCGATACCGCCGACAAAGACGAAGAGAGTGCAACATTTCCCAACATGTATTCTCTATTCAAAAAGACAAATCCCGCATTGGCAAAGTCATTGACAAAGAATACCCGTGCCATCGCACAGGTCCAGTCCATGAAAAAGAACACGGCCTTCGTCAATAGCATCAAAAACGATCATGTTCTAAAGCAGCTCTCGACTGTTGTAGTGAAGAATCCAGGCGCGCTAACCATAGGGAAACTCGAACGGATCGGATCCGTCGTGGCCAAACGCCAAGGTGTAGATATCAACAAAGGGGAAACATTCCAGAAGATCGCGTTTGCCATCATTTTCCTGGGGCTGATTGGTTTGGGCACGGTTCAGAACCACAGCAGTGGTTAAAAGTACAAACAACTCCGTGATAATATGAAAAAAAAATGAAAGTAATGAAAAAATGAAAGAAGTTGCCTTCAGAAAAACAGAAAAAACTACCAATTCCGGTCAATTTGCTGAAATAGCCGCGGGCATTTATGTAATTTTGGATAGATTTAAATTTGCCACGTCAGATATTCGCTCCCTTGCAACGATGGAGTCGCGCACGTCGTTCTCGCAGGTGGCACTGCTCGCGCTGCTCGTCGTCGGCGCCATCACGGGTGTCTACGTGTTCTTTCAGAACGCCCCTGAGGCTGAGTTGTACGTGCTTATACATATACCCATGTACACGATTTCATTCCTAACGCATCACTAATTGTTGTCCAAAATGATAAAACTGCAGCACCGAGTGCGAGTCCATTTCTGTATCGTACGTGATTCGCGGCGTCCTGCCTACTTGGCTAAATGGGCGCAATGACAAAATGGGCACAGTCCAGGGGCTCTGGCAGTGCGCGAGTCAGTATCGCGAGCATCACGCCGCCTTCGTTCTCTCCAGCTTCTGCATCGTGTACATTTCGCTGCAAACGTTTGCTATCCCGGGCCCCATTGTGCTGAGCATTCTGTCTGGAGCCATGTACCCATTCATGCAGGCCCAGATTCTGGTAGCCTTCTGTGCTACGACGGGCGCCTCGCTCTGCTTCATGCTGTCGTACTTCTTGGGCCGCGGCGTCTTCAATAAAGTGCTGGCTGGGATGATCGGACGCTTCAAAGAGAAGATCGCCCACAACCAAGGCAACCTCTTCTACTACCTGCTGTTCCTGAGGATCACTCCGCTGCTGCCCAATTGGTTCGTCAACATCGCTTGTCCACTGGTGGGTGTCCCGTTCAAGTACTTCTTCCTGGCCACGTTGATCGGCTTGGTCCCGGCCAATTTTCTGCATATTTCGACGGGTGCGACACTGAACAGTGCTGCGGGAGCTTCTGGTGGGAGCAATGCGGTCAGCTTTGCCGTGCTTTTCCTGCTGCAGTTTGTGGCATTATTGCCCACGCTATTTAAGGGCAAGATCGAGAAGTACGAGAAGGAAGCATTTGAGAAGAGCAAGAAGACCAAGTAAAAGTGGGGACAGGCACCACTGTAATAGCGATTCCTTAGAGCTAAATGGCTTGATGTTGGATCGAGACTGTCAATGTTACTCCCTCAATTTTAATCACATTGCAAAATTTGTTTTAAGGGTGTCCAACTTTCGACACGATGTAAACTAGTGATCGTCGTTATTGTGGTTCGTTATTGAGGCTATTTCTTTTGGTGCATGAAATAATTTTTACGCTTGCAAAGTTTCTCTTTACAAATATTTTGTGTAAGAATCAACTTACTTTACGGGTTACTAACGTTAAATCAGCAAAGTTTGCGTCGGCAGCAACGCCTCCAGTCAGAACAGTCTGCAAAACATCAGTAAGATATTAGTTAAAAGAGCATAGCTTGATGAAAATTTAGGGTTCGTACCGAGTATGCAGCTTTGGTTGTTGGTTGAGATGTCGGTTCCTCTTCTGCGTCCCAGTCGTCGTGAACGAAATTATTGTCGGCTGTGACGTTGGAAACTGGAGTCTTGTTGTCACTGTGTCTGGTATTAGTTTTGGACGGTGGTTGCTCTTGCTCTTCTTCGTCTAAATTGGTGGACCAACATTTCTAGTAGCATCAAACTTTACAAATTTAGAGAGAAACAACAACATCGACGACAACAACATCAGAGCTTAATCATTGTTTCTCGAAATGTAGGTAGACGACTTTGTGGTGCCTTAACATTCAGCTTCACAAACGCGTGCAACCACAATAACCCAGTTATTTTACGTGTTAGCTTGGTGAAAATGCTCATCATTTCATTTAATTTGGAGAATACAGAAAATATTCGTTCGTTACTCACTTGCTGATTGGTCCCGCTTTGCGTCCCGCGAGAAAGAAGACTGGCCCTAAGTACACCATCCAGAGTAAAGGTTCATTTTACTATTGTGGTTTTCATTCAATAGGTATTCGCAATGGCACTTGAACGTAGTACGGAGACAGCAATAAAATTGAAAATGAATCATCTAACTCAATTTTGACTGGGGCCATATTATGAGATGTCTAGTCATTATTTTTCGTGTCAGAGTGGTGCTTTATTTCATGTCATTTCTTAGTTCTGACTCCCCCTATTAGGGTCATGAACTTCAAAAAGACAACCCTGACTAGAGGAATGTGCACTATTGAAGAAGTGCCCGTGTTTTAATTTCAGAAAATGACCATACGTCTTAGGTTCGAAGGCGACGCATATCTTCTTCAACTTCCTTCGGGCACTTCTTGATGCTTTTGTCGAAGAGCCGTTTAAACCAGTTTACAAAACGATCGCATTTTTCCTCTTTTTGATCCGCGACGCCGTTCGTGTTCATGGATCCCGTATTTGAGTTTGCTCCGACGGGGTGCACACGCCCACCTCCAATTGGGGTGCCCCCTCCTCCGTCTCCTGTTGTAGTTGCATAACCTCCTCCGTCTCCCCCGGAGACTCCATGCCCTCCCTCACCTCCTCCTGAAACTCCATGCCCTCCATGCCCTCCACCACCTCCACCACCTCCTCCACCATGCCCGCCTCCATGTCCTCCACCTCCTCTTCTTTCTTCAAAAGTCGCGTCATCGCCGGACAGTTCTCGAGTGGCTACATGCAGACCGGGCACCGCGTTGTGGATCACAGTCGACTTCGTCGAGGCCGTCTTGGAGATCGCGTTAACGGTGACTGCGCTGTCACTTCTGGCAGCAACCAGTGTGACCGCAACCGCCAGCACGGGGAGAAGTAAGCGCATGCTTCTCGTTGATCAGCAACTTGTAGACGTGAGCGCAGAATCCGGAGTGATCCCGAGTTTGAAAGTTGAGTTATATAGGCAGTCTGGCCCAGGCCAACTACCAGCATCTTCGGCATTGAGATTGCACAGCCTTGATGTACTGGTACTAATCATTAATTAATTTATTTGTTGCGGTTTAGACGGCGAACTACCGGTACACCCGAAGCCGCGCACAGCAGCAACTTCGCCTATGGTTTTCGATCTACTCTGACAACGGGCCCACGGTAGCTGCCCATACTGGCACTAATCAATGCGTTCATGTAAAAGTGGGGCCAAGGACTGTTTACAGGCACATACTCACTTCACTTTAGCAAGGTACTTGCGAGCGA